AGACCCGCCTGGATAATCTTTTCATTAAACCCAGATCAACTGATTAGTAATCTTAATGACATCTGCAAAAATTCATTTTGCCACATAATATGATAAATCACAGGAATTATTCATGTGTTCTCCCCACATTCAAGAGAGGAGATTTTATGAGGGCAAGGATCATTGGGGGTCTTCTCAGAATGCTGCCTGCACAGGTCCTGACTGCCAAATTCTGCTCCTCTAGTCTTTTACTGAACTGTTTTAAGCAGCACACAGTAACACTTAAATTAAAAGTGCTTTTGCTCATTCTTTTCCCTGCCTGAAATCCTTTTCCTTGCTCTCCCTTTTCAAATCTATTATTTAAAGTACATTTCAAATCCCAGATTGTAAAAAAGTCTGTCAACTTATGTTTGCCTCCCCTGATTTCTGTAACATTAATATGACAATACCACGTTCCTTTGTGATAGTACTTTGTAAATTTTTTTTTTTAAAGAATTTATTGGGGAATTGGAACAGTGCTGGGGAATTGGGGAAGGGGAACAGCCAAGTTGTTGTTTTTCAATCTTAGTTGTGGGGGGCGCAGCTAGCTCAGCTCCAAGTCCAGTCGCCATCTGGCCGCCTGGCGGCTGCTCGTGGCCACTCTCTGCTCAAGGTGCTGTGTTCAATCTTAGTTACGGGTGAGTGTAGTCCAGCATCCCATGTGGGGAGTCGAACCATTAGCCTTGTTGTTAGGAGCACGTGCTCTCACCAGCTGAGCCATCCTCAGCAGCTCAGCTCGGGCGCAGCTCACTGGCCCATGTGGGAATCGAACCAGCGATGCTGTTGCTCAGAGCTCGCGCTTTTAACCAACTGAGCCACTCGGCCGGCCCACTTTGTAAATTTTGATCAGCTAAACTCTTGAGTAATTCTTTGTTCAATTAGTTAGACTGTTAGCATTTGAGGGCAGGAAGCATTTCACATACAAATATATTTTTATCTTCCATAAAGCTTCCATACTTAAGTGGTTAATTTGCTGACTTAGTTCTTTAGCCTTCCCAAAAGGTAGCTTTCCCATTTTATGTGACTGAAACAATAAAAAATTTTAACCTAAATAAAATTGTTGCTACTTGTTTACTACATCCAGATAGATCACTTATACTCTTTTTTTAAGACTTGGTATTTCTTTTTTCATTTTCATTTACTTTTTTAGATGCTTGGGTCAAACCTATAGAAATATAAGATGGTAGTTGACAACATTTCTGATTTTTCTAAATTGTGATTCAGTTTCCAGTTGAACAAATGATAGGAAAACCCAGAACTACATATAATTTGGTCTTTCAACATAAAGTATTTAAGCAAATAGATCCTTTGTTTACTCATTATAAATTACAGAATTTTTGAAGCTAGGAATTGGGACAGTGATAAAATGATCTTACTGGTCTTATTTTCTCCCTTGGGCCGTTTTATCTGAAAGTTACAAAATGTCTCTATACTGTTTATTCCTTAGAGAAAATACTTAAGATATAAATATCCGGAGAGAGTTAACCCTGATTTGAGAGAGTTAACCCTGATTTAGATTTTGTTGATTATCTTTTGCTTCACAGTCAATGAACTTAAGTCTTAATGGCTTAAATTTTAAGTTTTAAGACATGATTGTTTTTCATAGTTTGTTGTTGGCTGGAGTCAGCTGGGTGGTTCTTCTCTTCCTGCTGTTGGCTGGGGTCACTCAGAAAGCTGCATTCAGCTGGGACCTCAGGCTGGGGCTGGAATGTCTTAAAATGGCTTCACTCACATGTATAGTGCTTTAGCTGGGGTGGCTGAAATGGCTAGGAGTGGCTGGGCCTCTCTCTGTGTCAGGGTGGTTAACCGGTGGTGGCTCAGGGCTCAAGTAGAAGCTTCCAGGCTCCTGGGGGCCAGGCCCAGAACTGGTAAGATTTCACTTCTGCATTCTATTGGTCAAAGAAAGTAACAAGGCTAGCCCAGATTCAAGGGGAAACCGAACCAGACTCATCTGGAGAAGTGAAGCAGCATGTTCGAGCAGGAATGGAAGGAATTATTGGCAACCTACTACACATAGCTAGTTTCTTTAGAGCAGTTTTAAATTGATGGGGGTTGAGAAGGGGTGTAGGGAGGGAGGCTGGTTATTGCAGGAAGTCAGTTGTACAGGTGTCTCTCCAACAGCCATATCAAAGTGAAGAGCATTCTCAAAGGGGAGGCAGATGATACATAATACATAGCAATTCCACTTAGAAATAGTTTGCCTGATCGACCAGGCAGTCTGAAGTGTGAGGACTACTGTGGATGAAACCAAGGGTTCCATCAGCCCAGGATTCTAACTCAGTGACACCAGGGCTGCTCTGAGGATAGCTTGATGGTCAGCCTCCAAAGAGTTTTCCAGATACACATACCGGCCATTAATTTATCCAAATCCTTGGAGCTGTTAATACATTTGGGGACAGTTTCTATTCATTCCATAAGTAGCTAAAGGTTATAACCTCCCTCCCACCAGGTTTTACTCCTTTACATACATCCAAGTTTCAATATCCTGATTTTGTGATTAAACCCAAGTTTATTCTATTCAAACCTTTCTTGAATTTGTACTTTTTGATGTCCATCATTTATAGCATGCTAAATTTTAGTTTTTCCTCGTAGGAATACCGCTCCATCTTTTATTTGCTTTTCTCTGTTCCTTTTTTACTTAGTATTTCTTGAGGAATAGACGAACTATATTTAGTATTCTGTCTAGGCTTTGTCTCAGATCTTATTTCTAATATCAACTCTTTATGATCAGAATTTTACTGGATTGATTTATGGTTACATTAGTTTTAGGGAATGTGCAACCTCTAGGAACAAATCTACAATTGCTTAGGTTTTTGATAAATTAGACTTCATTAGTTTCCATTACATTTGCTAGAATTAAATCTCACTTGCTGTTTTCTACGCTCCCAGAACTGATTTGAGTTCCTCCTATAGTTTCTAAAATGGGGGGAGGATAGTGAGCTGAGGGAGCACACAGGTGGATGGTCAGATCTAGTCTGACCTGAAGGATGAATCAGTTAGATAAGGGAGGAGTCGGGGTTGCTTGGAACAATGATTTTTCCAGACAGAGGAAACATGCTTCAATATCAGAAGGAACATGGTGCCCTTTGAGTTACTGAAAGTGGTTCACTGTCATAGATGGATTTAGAAGTTCTCGGGTCGAGGTTAGGAAACTACGAGCTTTGAGATAGCCCATTCTTTAGCAGTCTGGCATTCTTCAAGCAAAGAGTTCTGCAGGTTTTGTCGCCTCGATCTCAAATGCTTTTCCATGAAATCTTCACTAGGTTGCTCCAAATAATCATCCAGGTCTCAGCGCAGATGAATTCTGAGGCTGTTTGTAACTGTTCTTTCTATGCTAGCTCTCGCACACATTTATCACATTAGAAGGCTTGTGTCCTCATAACACTACTCTCTGAAGTCAGCTTATCAGGCTCTGCAGAATAGAATGAAAACCCCATGAGTTTGCCTGTCTTGTTCACCACTACATCCCGAACCCCAATCACTGCCTTTATTTATTGGAAGCTGTGTACCATGCACTGTTTTAGAGCAGTTACCAGTGAGCAACATGCAAAAATCCTTACCTTTGTGGCATTTTAGCCACATTACATTCCACCAGGGGAGACAGTAAACATATAAGCAAATTATATAGTATAAGTTGGCAAATGTGCCAGAGAACATATGGATGGGTAAAAAGGGGCATTGCAGTATTAAATAGGATTTCTTGAGGTGATCTTTGAGGGTTTGAAGTTGGAGTTAGGCAAGCAGATATAAGGGAACGAGTGGCTGGAGGTAATGGCTAGTGCAGATTCTAAGGCAGGAGTGTGTTTTTGCCTGCATGAAGTCAGCTGACTCGGGCAGCGTGATGGAGGGGAAGAGTAGCAGCTGAGGTAAAAAATTAAAAGCCATGGAAGGGCCGTCCGAGCGGCGCGTTGATTAAGAGCTGGCTTGGGACGCCAGAGGGCCCCGGTTCGGATCCCACATATGAGGGCCAGTGACACTGCCCTCCACAGCTAAGACGCTGAACAACAGCTCAACCTGGAGCTGGGCTGCCGAGTCACCGGTGATGAAGTAGGCTGTAGCCCCTGCTGCAGTGGGTTGCCATGGGCTACCGTGTGTAGCCAGCAGCCAGCATGAGTGGCCGTCCAGAAGCCAGCGACTGATCTGCTTCGCCTGGGAAGAGCGCAATGATGGTGCCAACTTGGGCCAGTGAAGCAACGTCCTCCACAACTAGACTGAACAACAAAAGGACAGCAACTTGTCTGTTCCCCTTCCCTCAATTTCCCAGCACTGTTCTCATCTCCCAATTCCCCAATAAAAATCTTAAAAAAAGAAAAGCCATGGCAATGTGTTTGCTCTTTATTCTGAACCGAGAAGCCACTGAATAACTTCAGGTAGAACAGTGATGTCTCTGCTGCTGTGTTTAGAACAGGCTGTAGACAGTCAAGTGTAATAGCAGGGACATCAATTAGGAAGCTGCTGTGAAACTCCAGACAAGAAATAACGGACATAGAAATTTGGCAGTCCTTAGCACAGAGATGGTGTTAAAGCCACAGGATGTGGTCACCAAGGGAACTTAGTTATCTTGTTCTGATCCATTTAAACTTTGGCCTTAGAATACTCCTAACCATCTTTGGTGCTACATCACAAAGACTTTAATAAAGGCTGTAGTCAAATTAAGAAGTTCCAACCTGCTTTGCATATTAACTTGAGGATGGAAATTATTTCTTTCATAATGATTTGGCAAGTATCTCATGATTTGCTCTGATAAAAAGAACCAAATCCTTTTTTCAGAGGCGTGTATTAGCTTCTAAAACTAAATCCCAAGGATGAAAATTAAAGATAATTTGCAAGACTGAACTCCCTGAAGGCACAGCAGTAGCGCGTCCATCTTTGTATTTTTATCGTCTAACACACTGCTTGACACATGAGAAGAGGCCAATAAATGCTTAATGAATATCCAAGAATCTGAAGTTATCATAATTATAACACATCAAGACACAAAACAAAATTACAAAAGGAAATTTATTTCAAAAGCATAAGGGAACATTTACTTTTGAACAAGGTGATAAACAGGTGTCTTGCAAAAAAAAAAAATCATGGCATGAAGTTTTTCATTCAGATTTCTGAAGCAGAAATAACCTAAGTTGTGCACTGTTGCCTTAGGAAAGGGAGGGGAACAATGAGGTGGTAAAGGGAGAAACACAGTCAACTCAGTATCAAAGTCGAGAAAGGCAAGTCACTTCTCAACTTTGAGTTTACAAATATTCTTAAAAAAAGAAAAAGGAAAAGTTACACTTAATGTTCAAATTTATATAACTGTAGTCCCAATATAGTTTCTGTACTTGAAATGGCTTTGGGTCACTGATTGACCTGCCTCTGAGGCCCAGACTACCTGGTCACAGTTTTCAAATGGCAATTCCATGTTCCTATGTCTGTTCCGATTCCAAGGGAGCTTAGGTTCAGCTCAGTCTTCTGGAATGTTTACATTATTGCCAGCACTCCATAGTCAAGCTGACCCAACTTTTTTTGCTCACTGGTATCATTCTAGTATTTAAACATGTGCAGTAATTCTAACAAAGGGGTTTTACTTTTTCCCCAATGTAGAGGTAACAGTAATGAAGACACCTGCGTTGGAATCACAAACTATTCCTCAAAATATTCGTCAAACTACTAGAAAATGTCATCCAGGCATTGGATTCGAACAGCAAACTTGGGGAGGGAAGATTAACTGTGGAACAAAAATATATGAAACATTCAAATGTAGAGCAAAGGTCCTATGCTACTAAAAATGCCCATGACATTAAACACTCCACAAACCCCCCATCTGTTGTTTTCACCTAAAGATTCTATTGGCTAACTTATACAATAATTTTGATTAATAACCTGAGAAGTTAAAATCTTCAAAGTGGCAAAAGCAAACTGAGGAGCATCCCTTATTATTGGTACACCATGTTATCAAGTCACTTTTCCTGGGCTGCCCTGGTTATTAAATCCCCCAATTCTAAATTATTCTATGTCATCCTGTAGAAACCTATATGTACATCAGATTCAATATTTTGGCTGTATTTCTCCAACCAGAATCTCCAAACTTATCTTTGAAAAATGCAGCCTTTGTTTATTTTTACTTTTAAATAACAATAATCATGTTAAGTGCAACTGACTCAAAATCCCTCACTACTGGGAGGAAAACACAGATAACAATAATGGATTCAGCCTCAAAAGGGTGATCACCATGTCAAAGATTACCCATTCCTGGAATTTAAAAAAGTGATTTATGTTGTGTAGTCAAGTTTCACAGCATGCATATATACACACACACACGCACTCATATGCTTATGCATGTATGTATATTATACATACACATTTCTATTCAAATAGTTAAGAGCCCATATTCAAAAGTTTTATCACAACATATGGAGAAGAGTTAATTAAGAGTGGACAGCAACTTGCTTTCTCCTAAAAATGTAATGTCATTTGTACATTTTAAGAAAGCTGGTAAGTGTTTTGCTCTTATGATACTAGGTAGGAACCACTACCTACCAGCTTTATTAAAAAACAATGAAGATAAAATGTTAAGATTGACCATTACTCTTCTCCATATATTGGGCAAAAGTAAAAACATAAGACAGAGGGGGTAAAAAGTAACCTTTCAAAACTGATGATCTTTGCCAGTTATCAGTAATGGACTGAATTTCATTATATTTTAGACTTGAACAGCTTTCAGTAACAAACTATTAAGATGCTTAAAAGTAAAAGATTCACAAAATGAACTCTCAATAATGATGATATTGCAAAAACAACAAGTCAAGACTGCGCACAGAGCATCCAAAAATATCGCTGTGGTTTTACCTTGGACACGACCATGGTCTGTTACAAAAGTAGATCATACATACAAAGGTATAAAGAACATTAAGTTTTTAGCTGAAGGCAGCAGTCCTTTTAAAGGGACATCCCCGGCAATCCAATGAGTAGTAGAATTTAAGTATATTAAGCTCGTGACAATGCTGACGAATGCGATGTCTTGTTCAGTAGAGTCGTCCCCGACTACGACTTCCTCGCGCTCCCCAACCTCGGCCACCTCTACTTCCCCTGAAGGCTCCTCTCTGCTCTACGAAAAAGCGAACCAGGGTTTAGGTCTTTCTCAGGACTTCACAATACAGCAAACACAGAAGAAATGTAGCATGTAGCTCTGAATGTAGCACTGGGCTCTGCAAAAGCAGCACTGGTATTCTGCTACACCCTCTATAAACTCAACCTGCACATAAAACCAGTATACTCGTTATGTACCAAAGCGCACACGGCAAGGTGCCAAACACAGTCGTACTAGGTACTAAGTTAATGTATCCCATTAACAAAGATGTTTCAAGTGACAGACTTATAACTACATTGCTTAGTTCTTTATTTTGGTGCCTATCACTACCAAAGATAATGAAACTATCAAAATTTCTATTCTTAATATGGAATTAACAAAAACGCCAATGACCTTCAAATGTTGGTGCCATAAATGCAAATATCTTAAGCTGTCAATGATAAATTTTGAAAAATCAGGCGAGACTGAAAATTTTCCTTTCAATTGCAATGGACAATTTGTTTTGGTCATATTTCAAGAACCTGGACTCACAAAATGTAAATATAAAAACTGACAGCTTTTTCTCACTGCTTTATCAGGTGCGTGAGCTGCTCAGGGGTGCTGCCGAAAAGGTGATACATATACATTTGGTGTCTGGGTTTCTGATGTAAGCATATCTTTTGCTGAAAAATCGAGTCACTTGTGTCATACTGTAAATTCAGTCTTTGATTCATTGGTTAGTCTCTTTTATAGCTCCAGAGAAATACTCCTCAAAGGAGGCCTTCCAGTGAAGAAAACTGAAGTTTATCAGCAAAGCTGGACTTTTCATATATATGAATGAATTAAGAGTCTTAAACTTCTAATTCCAAAGATCAAATCGCCACTGAACTTTCCAACTTCCTCATTGCAGCAATCTTGTTAGGAGCCATAAAAAGAACCTGGTGTTGCTATCAATCCATAATGTTGGACACTTGGAAAATTCCTATTAAGTCACTACTGTAATCCATTTTTTTGCCATTGTGGCTAGAAACATGGTTACCTTATCTGGATGATGTTTTGATGTTTTTTACCCCCTCCAGAAACTCTGGAGTTAGAAAACTAACTAGATCTTTCCCCACCTTAGCCAATATGTGTAATTGAATGGGATCTGATTTAAAGTCACCTCTCAGGTCATAACACGTTTTTCTAAGCTGATCAGTAAGCAAAGCAGTTAAATGAAACCTTCATGCTTAACATCCTAGTGAACACATTCAGAAAATCCAAGGTGGTCTGAGGGCAGCTGCTCCCAATGATAGATGCTGTGACCTCGGGGGCATTCAGGTCGTGTCCCCACCTTTATGTAGGATACAACTGCATTTTTTACTGTTTATGACTTGGCCTCATCTATTGCACATGTCTGCACATTTCCCTCCTACTGTACTCATTATAAAACTCTAATTTCTCAATAAATTTAATAGCAACACACTCAACAAATTAACATCTTCATAGATATTAGCTATGAGTTAACAGGCTACTAAAAGCCACCCTTTCAACTGTTCAATCAATTTTAGTATAAATAACTGGGTTACCCTCAAATGTTCAGCTACATCTAATGAGTGTATTAATATGCTGTATGGATTGCACTCTGGGCAGCGGGAGAGACCACAATGGGACACATCTTCCTTGCCCGGTAATGCTTTACCATCTGACTCCATTTCTATGACCTCTTTGAAGTAGTACAGAAGATGGAGGACAAGCAGAAGGGTGACCAAGTCCATGAAGGATAATTAATATCACATCTGCCGGAAGCTACAGCTCCATCCCTGAGGGAGAATGCAGTGTCTTGCCTTGAAGCCAGAAAAGGGAAAACCAGGAATGAATGGTTCATGTCAACTTCCTTTCTTTTTTGTTCTGTTGGCTCCTCTGAATACAAGAGGCATATTTTTGTTTTTTAAGTTCTTAGCATTGCACGCTCAATTCATTGAGCCCATAAGGGTGTCAGAGAGGGATGAGATGAGTTGTTTTCCCCAACAGCTCTAGTCCCCCACAGCAACTCAGAAAAATCACATGAAAGAGCTATGATACTATATATAATTGATAATGAAAATCAAGTACAACACAATTTCTGCTTAATCTCTTATATTGCTTGTTCCCAAACGGAAACGCTCACCATAATTAAAGTTGCCCAAATTGCTGCTATACTTCCCACTAGGAGGATTATAAATCTGCCTGGCATCTCTTTTTGGTCCTGCTGGAGATTTCTTCGGTGGTGAACCGGAAGTTGTATCTTCATTGGCCCTCTTTTGCCTATAAAAGTAGGAAAAACAGCAATAAAAAAATTCTGTTAGACCAGAAGCTGTCAGTACACTTGTATTGTAATTTAGCATATCAGTTATGAAAGACATCCTAAAGGTGACAGTCACACCTGAAAAAAGGAAGTAACATTTTGATGTCATCAAATTAACTGCCTCAGTTATGCAGACATCGTCAGAGGGCATTTGCAGGGCTTTAAAATAATCTCGAGTATGTAGCTTCCAAGACTACATGCAAGTGACAACTCCTGTAAAACTTGTCAGAAAGCCTAGTTATGTCACAGGAGTCTAAACAAGCCTGAAAATTCCCAGGTTGTATTCCACCAGTTTATCCTTTTTATAAATTACTCGAGTTAGACTTTATATTTTAAGTCGTGCTTCTAATAGTCATATTTTAACATCTTAAGAATCATTTAACTAATGTATCTTTTGTACAGTAAATATAACTTCTGAATTCAGATTTTCATATTTATAAATCATGAATAGTATACTTCAATCTCTTATAAATATATTTCTTACCCTATTTCAACCTTCTGTACAGGTTTCCAGGATAATGTTACTGTGCTCTTATAAGACGGAGGAATGTGGAAGAGATCCTGAAAAGACAAAATTAGACAAGATTTCTATGTATTTGGTGGTGTGGGGAGTAGTGGTGAGGGTAAAAAACACCTTAAAGATTAACAGAAAGGAAGCTTTCCTATAGTGCAGAAAGCTCTCAATGTGTTCCACAGGACTGTCCATTCTTAGTGTAAACAAAGCAGGATTTTATTGGCTATCTGAAAGGACTCAATAGCACTACAACCACCACTACTTAAGTCAGTCAAATTTCTGAGTGCAGATATAGCTGCTCTAATTAATGCTTTGGGGCCAGATGAAATCTGCATGCCTCCCTTTGCTTGCAGTATCTTCTGCAGTAACTTTTATATAAAACAATGTATGATTTTGTAACAGCTATAGAAATGTCAGGTGGTATAGTAAAAAGCATTAAGCTTTAAAAGACCAAACATCTGGAAAGCAGTGGCATCTTAAATAGTAACATTACAGACCTAAAAATGCATGGATAACCTCTTACACTAACTTCCAGCTAGCTGGGAGAACTGGGTAAGAAAGGAAGACTTACCTTGATTAAAACATTGATATTATTTGTTATTTTCAATGCAACAACTTTAATCTTGTTCTACAAAAGGTAAACAAAAATTAAATTGAAATGCCAGTAACTTTTATGATGCATATTTCATTACCATATAGAGCTAGAGTCATTATACTTCTCTTTCAGAATCATTTCTGCTTATTCCTATTCTTTGACTCTAGTGTAGAGATGGCAAAGAAGCAAATAATCTTTATGTTCCCTTGACAGGTTAGAACATGAAAGTGTTATTTACAATTTGCCCGAAAAATGAATAAGGGACAGGTTATATGCACATAGTTGTTGTTTTAGAAATAATCCGTTTAAGTTACAGAAAGACATGATGAAAACTTAAAATATTTCATTAGGACTGGGATGAGATTTTTCAAAATAGGTGAGATCAGGGAACCAAAAATCCCAACACAAACATACACATAGCTTGGTATATAATGGGCAATTAAATCTTTTTTTCTAATGTCAAGGATTCAAAAATTTTTTTTGGGATTCAAAAAGCTTAAATTAAAAATATGACAACCATCAATCAAATATTTAAACCACATGTGTTGCTAACGAGATCCTAGTGAAAGATTGGTACGTATCTAAGTTTGGTAACACTGTTTACAAACATTGGAAAATTCAAGATATTTCAACAATAAAAATATAACTTAGCAAATAACTAAATATATAATCTAACATTGTATTATATCTTCAATATAGACTTGAAGCACTAGTTTAAATAAAGTTGAATGTTACATTTCAATGTATGAATTGTCTGAATTTACATAACTGATGGCTCTTATAAAAATTTCCATGTAAGATGTGACCCATGATTCTCACCTCTTCTGTTTTTAAGGCCTCGCCTGTTTTACCCTGGAGAGCCAAGCGAAGTTGTCTGATATAAACCTGTAGGCCCCGGGCGAAGTACTGCAGCCTAAATGAAGAAGTATTTGTTAATTAGCAGCACATCATCAGTTCAACTCTGTTCTTCTACTTCAACTTTGACTTAGACAAGTCAATCTGTTTTTATCTGCTAACAAAAGATAGTGTTTGACTTGTTTGCACCTCAAGGTCCAGTTAAAAATAAACAGTATGAGGAATAACAGTTAAGTTCACGAACTCATCCTAGAAAATGTGCTACATCCCTCACTGCTGAATATCACTATGGTCACCTTTGAAGTACTCCCCTTGGGAAGCTATGCACCGACACCAGCGCCTAGTGCACCCTTCAAAGCAAATTTGGAACTCTTTTTCTGGAATTGCCAACAGAGCTGTCGTCGTATTAACCTTGATGTCCTGAATGTCATCAAAATGTCTTCCTTTCAATATTTCCTTTATCTTCAGGTAAAGAAAGAGGTCATTGGGGGCCAGATCCGGTGAGTAGGAAGGGTGTTCCAATACAGTTACTTGTTTACTGGCTAAAAACTCCCTCACAGACAGTGCTGTGTGAGTTGGTGCATTGTCGTGATGCAAGAGCCCTGAATTGCTGGTGAAAAGTTCAGGTCATCTAACTTTTTCATGCAGCCTTTTCAGCACTTCCAAATAGTAAACTTGCTTAACTGTTTGTCCAGTTGGTACAAATTCATAATGAATAATCTCTCTGATATCAAAAAAGGTTAGCAACATCGCTGTAACACGTTCACGAACTTAAATAGACCTCTGTTGCAGATTTGAGAATTTACTATAAACTCATATAAATCTCAAAGGGTCCCGAGTAATCTCTTTAAGTTTGTTCCCAGGTTACTACGTGAACAATAGGTGGTACCATAACTCCATCCTGCTGACTGCTAGGCACTCTTCTTAACAACAGGCATCGTTCATTTTTTTTCATTTTTACAGTAATTTCTTAACTTGCTGCTTCTGCTCAAATGTTTTACCAATCATTAAACCTCTGCCCACCAAAGAGTAGACTAGGACAGTAACAGCTGACAGTGGCCAAGCATTTCAAACTTTAAGATGTGACTCTATTAATGAAATGATTCAATACTAAGTGTCTTTGTGAAAATGACTTATGATTTTTCCAGTGCTGCCCCTCAGTTACACTCTAAGATACTAATAACAATAGCAGCTACAGTTTGCTGAGTACCCATTATGTGCCAGGCAGTGCTCAAAGCTCCATTCTTTGTCTCATTTAATTTTTACAACTCTATGAGGCAGGTGCTATTATCATTTAACAGCCGAGGAAAATTTGGAGTGTTAGAGATGCTAGGGAACCTTCCTAAATCATAAAGCAAGAGGGGAGAGCCAGAGTCCAATTTTGAAAAAGTTCATTCTCCCCTCCCCACAGGTATTGTATGTTTACATATATTCCTCTTTTTTGGCTCTTCTGTTTTGTTCAACTGGGGTAAGGTAGGGTGGGAAGAAAGCTCTCGTAAAAACGAAAACGAAACCCAGGGAGCATCAGCTAGCCATCACTTTTGCCAATGATTGGACTACTTCAATCATACATCACCTGATTTTAAAATCTTTGAGCTTTTCTGCATTGAGTTTGGCTGTTAAGAAATCTGGAAGTTTTCGGCCCAATTGGTGGAAGCTGTACAACAAACATTCCACATAACTGAACTGCAGCTTGGGTTCTTCATTACCAGCATTCTCCCCATTTTCTGCTTCTTCTGGAGGGAGTGGCATGTACTCCTAAGAGATGAAAATATAGAGATGTTTGCAATCTGCTATCAATAATTATAAACATATACTCAATTAATTGTAGGATGTGCTTTTAAGATGTGAAGCATTACAAACTACCAACATCAGAAATTTACGTAAGATATCTTTTAGACCTACAGGATCAATGATCTAGCCTGTCAATTCTCCATATTAACCTATGTTATAGCTCCTACTACTAGTGACAATAAAAGTAGCTAACATTTATTAGGTACTTAATGTAGATGGAGTTCTGAGAGCTTAGGTATCTTTCCTATGGTGAAAAAATTAGTAATTGAACAGTCAGGATTCAATCTAGGTTTGACATCAGAAGTTGACGCTCTTAACTACTGCGTTATGCTAATACTAAAAATCTCTGAATATTATTCCACATTATCTAAGTATTGACTCTTTTCTTTCAGAGTAGTACCAGAGGCATTCAGTATCAGTGATGTAACACCCTAATAGGTACTCTAGGTCTGAAAGAGCACCAGATGCTAGATGACTCAATTCATGCGACGGGTCTAATGCATATCACTGTGTCAGTTACATGACGGCTCACATCCAACAAGAAAATCATTTGGCGATGCTGATAATGATTTTATCAGATGCTCTATTTTCTCCACAATTATGACTTAAATGACCTTATTTCCTGGTTGATAAAGCTAGTTGGCCTTGGGCAGCAACCTGGATGGTGAACTGCAGCACATATAAAAAAATATTTTGATAAAGGAATAGCAGATGTACTATATAAACCCTCTACTATGTGCAAAGCATCAACAACAGAAGGAATGCCAAAGATTAAAACAGACTTTTAGAAAAGGTAGACAACATGTGGTCTGAGCAGCTCACAACACTTGCTAGAATTATTACACTATTAGACTATGGAGCTAAATACTGACTATGCCAGAAGGAAAGAAAAAAGTTCTTACCAATAACTTATCAAACAGTTTCTTTAAATTTGTTTCTAGCTTTTCCATGTCACCACAAAATGAACTCATCTCGGCCAGTAGTTTCAACACCTAAAACACACAATTCACTGTGATTAGTATTTTTTGAATGAGCAAGGGTTGTAAAATAAAAATAATTCTAGGTAACTATTTAAGACTGCTTATTTTTCAATTATTCTTTTATGGAAGCAGAATGTTTGAATTGGAAAAAAATTTAGAGATGCAGCCCTATACTTTACTGTCGAGGAGACTAAAGGTCGGAAAGTTTACGTGACTTAGGAAAGTCAACCTATGTCAGTGGCAAGGCATACCCTAAAACCCAGATCTCACGACTCTTAACATATCTGTCAGAAGGAAAAAAAAATACATGATATTTTCTGTTACTGGTTAATGATAATGCAAAATACAGTGCAAAAATGATAAATACATTTACTAATTTGGCAGTTTTTACTTTGAAGAGACACTAAGGAGGAACTCTTTACAGCAAAGAAGTATTTACTAACATTTAGAGTGGGCCTCATTTGCTATTAAATTTAGTCCCTGGATACTAATTCAAAGTATTGGTAATTGTCTCTATTCTTGAGGTTTATATCTGCTCTATTCAATCCATCCCAGTCTGATAAGCTAAACCCAGAACATCTGAAGCTAAATAATTTCAGTGCACAGTGAGACCCCTCTGTCTCCCAAAGCCCTCTGAGGGAAGTGGCACATACATTTCCATATTTCAGTTCAATTCAACAATCAAGTGCCTTTCAGAATCAGGCTCTGCACTAGACTCTGGAGATACAGAGATGAATCTGGTTAAATATGGGGAGGTAAATGTAAAACATGTATTATGTACATAACAGCTGAGATACAAAGGACAGAGTAGTGAATTCTGAAGAATGGATAAAGGATGTTTTGTGTTAATTCAGCTTAAATCTAGCTCTATCCATTGTGGACAGAGATGGGAACTGTCATGAATTAAATACCTTATTTAAAAGTGTTAATGCTACAAAGGTAGAGACTGAGTATAATTTAAAACTACAGGCAGTGCTTTTCTATTGTAGTAACCTTTAATTGAATCCATAAAGTATTCCTATGTAATTAAACCTGGGAAAGATGGCTAGCCATCACCAGACCCTCACTCTTTTAGAAATCAGATCTAAGTTAGTGGTTTCTCAAAATATGAGAATACCTTTTCGTACTCAAAGCAGACATTTTCTCTTACCTCCAACTGTATATCAAGACCTTCCACTGGGGTAGTCAAGGAGCTGAGGTTAGGGAGAACATGCTCACAGAAATAAGTCACAAACCTTGTGGAATGCACATTTTTCTATAAAAATCCAAAGAACATTGAGTTGTCAAAAAAGGGAGAAATATTCTCTTAAATATAATAGAATGTCATTCAACAAATGCTAACTGAGTACCACAGCATCAAGTACTGGCTACGAATACACTATAGTGCATACCCCAGAGTACCCCAGAAATAGCTTCAATATACTTTCTTGCAAGGTAACTTGGAGCATTGGGACATCTCCACATCTTTGAACTGTTCCATTCTCGGATCAAATTTTGGGGGAAATTTTAGTGTTGAATTTCAGACTGTACATTTCTCAAAAAGGATAGATCCTTTAAACTGGCTTTCAAACTATAGTATAGTGCACATCTCAACACTCATGACCAGAGAGGATAGCATGAAGCCAGATAAACAGTATATTTACCTAGAACAATCTGTTAGGAAATTTAAGGAAAAAAGTTAATTTACTAAACCAACTAACTGTTTTAGAAACTCAGCCAAATTATAAAATATGATGCAAAATTCTCAAGGTTTTAAAAAGTCTCTAAGCAAGACTTTAAAGCAATGTCTGCTGCTTTGGCCTCCATAGAGTAAATATTGACTCCATGTGTTACTACTTTTATACAAAGGTTTGAAGAGAATGCTCAAGTGAATATCTACAGAAATATAATAGAATAATCAAAATACCAGCTATGTAAAACAAAGTGCTTACAGAGAAGAGGGGTACCGCCTGCCGAGTGCACTGCAACAGTCTGTCCACACAGTCAGGATCTGATGGGTTGAAGGTTTGTTCCAGGTCAGCCTGTTCAGCCACCAGCTCTACAAGTTGCTGTCTTCCACTCACTGTCTGTAAGCTTTTTAACCCTGATAGTATCTTCATGAACAGGACAAATTCTTCACCAGTCACATCTTCTAGGACCTGGAAAGAGACAATTCAGAATATTTTTATCACTTGATGGGATTGAAAGATCAATACTGAGAGTGTAGCAAATTCATTTGAGTTACTAAAGTCAGTTTGCTCCTGATGTTTCTGAAATACTGATGAAAGTGTAACTTCTAGCTTAAGTCAGTTTAGCTTCAGAATAAACCATGACTCTCAATTATGGGGTGCTATGTTGTCTCCAATGGGGCAAAAGTTGGTTCTTGGAAAATTTTACTCTTTTTTATGTATAAAGCACAGATATACTTACACAAGTATACAGTATACCTGTGGCATTAACATTTCATGGGAGAGCGGCTAAGGAAAAAAACGTTTAAAAAGGTTTTTTGGGTAACGATAGCAAAAAAAAGAGGAAGAAGATTGAGAAATTCTGTAAACTGTTAATTCAAATTCAGTTTCCTATATTTAAAAGCAACCTTATCCACATTAATAAGGTCACTGTATATAAAATAGGAGACCATGCAAGTCTTTTTTTTTCTTTCTTTTTTAAAAAAAAAACTTTATTGGGGAACAGTGTGTTTTTCCAGGACCCATCAACTCCAAGTCAAGTAGTTGTTTCAATCTAGTTGTGGAGGACACAACTCAGTGGCCCATGTGGGGATCGAACCGGCAACCTTGGTGTTATGAGCCTGCACTCTAACCACTTGAGCGAATGGGCTGCCCCGGGACCATGCAAGTCTTAATGTAGGTGCTCTGTATTAGTGGGTCTAAGCCTTTCTGTTCACTGGCCAAAGGAGCAAGCAATCATGACATGGTCCACCAGATTACTAGCTAGACATAAGGAAGATACGTGGACATTCCCAGCTGGAGAGCTGCTCCTTTCTCTCTCACTGCAGAAATCATATCAGTAAGCAGTGCTATTAGAGAACTTTTTGAATTTTCCTAAACATATAAAAAAGGTGAATGATTCCCAAACTTTAGCACTTTATAAGTGAAAGTTAACTGTGATATACCTTGAGAATCTCAACATCTGTAACTATGCTAGACCTGGGAGCACAGACAAATTAAGCATGGTCTCTTACTCTTGAAGAACTTATATGTATCATGGGGTAGGATGAAAAAACAAGTCATTGCAATGTGAATTCATTTTCAGTTTGAAATGATCCAGAATACTATGAGAGAATATGAAGAGAAGGGAGAGAAGGGTGGGAATTAGGTAAAATTTCTTGAAAGAGGTGATGTGTTTGCATCATAAATTCTGCATCTAAAAAATGCATCATAAATTCTGAAGGAAACAACCACAAAGGATTTCAATGTGATCGTATCCTTTTAAATTAACATCCTGATACATCATTACAGGTAACCAAAGTGCAAAATACAAGACAAGAAAGGCTTAAAGTTCTCTGGTGGTTCTCATGAGGTATATCATTTTATATGCAAGCTACATACAGCACTGATGGATACTGCTAATTTCAAATATGTTTTTGTGCTTTAGAGAAGTTCTTAATGATGATCAAAGCTTACCTTTTTGGATTCAGTTAGTATAAGCTCCTCTACTTCCTTTGTTAAGACTTCGTCTGGTAAAGTCTTAAGTTTCGTAGAAAGGAATTTGATTGCTCGTTCTCGAACAATGTCCTCTCCTTGAAGGATTTGGCTGAATAAGCCACCTAAAGTTCCTGCAAAACAAATAGTCATGTGCAAGTTAATTCTATACTGTAATGAAGTTTTTCAGTTTTACTCAATCCATATTTCTTCTCAAGTGAATTAATAAACATCCTGAATATCAGATACTAGCTAAATTGGTCTGAAATTTCTACAGCTCCAACAATAAGAGTCACCACATGCTTTGTTCATGGATACAGAATCATGTTGAACATGACTTTTCCTTTTTTATCATTATTAATAATAAATAAAACTCAGGTATTTTGGAAGAATTTCTTTCATGTGGCAAAGGGAGTTTTCCCAACAGATTTCTAATGGAAAAGTTCAATATGTTTTTGCAATTATTTCTGCTGGGTTTTGAGTCACAAACCTATTGCATTAAGCAGCTTTTCTTTTTTTTTTTTTTAAGAACTCTTAGAATTTTTACGAAAATAGATCTCTGGGTGAATCCTAGACTTTATCCTTAATCAGTAATACCAAGCTCCCCAATTTTTTAAGACACCAAACACAATTCAGAACAAGAAGTGGCCTTACCTTTTGCATCCATCTTAAATATACTTAACAGGGCATTGTTCACTAAGTTAAATTCTGCAGAGTCATCTGGATAGAGAAAAAGTGGTACAATATATAAAATAAATGAAAAATAGCATCTGCTTCCTTTTTGAACCTTAGGTTCAACATTGCTTCTCACAGATTACATTAAGAGGAGACGTATAACTATTTCTTTCAAGTACCAAGAAAATACATCTTCTTTAAACAGTTAGAGAACCTGACCTAGCATTATCTTGAAAGCTTTTATGTTAAAATAATACAATTATGAAACTACAGGAAATCAGGGGGGAAAATCATGATGCATCAAAATTCCCAAAGCAATGCAGTCATTTTGCCTTTATAAATAGAATTGAAAACAAACCAAAACTAGGAATTAGGTAATCAAAAGTCATTAAGCTTCAATCTACTGAATAAAAAAAGAATTTTAATTAAAAATAAGAAAGCTAAACACAGAGTCACTATTTCAGAGAGAAGTTCCATTTAGATAAAAGGGTAACAATAAATTTCTTACCTGTCTGCAAAAGTTGGGTTAGAATATCTGCCACTCGGGGAAGATTTTCTCCAGTGGCAAACTGAGGAAGCTCTTTAATTGCTTGCCGTCGAATCTGGATATGATTTCAAACAAAAAAATTAACCAAATTTCATCAATAAAAACAAGAAACCCAACCTTTAAAAAAAACTAAAACAACAGAAAAACCATAATTAGGGTATATGAGTCACAAAAATATAAAACATGAGATTTCTAGCAGTTTTAGAAATAATTTGCTCCAATTTCACATTCAAGCTTCACAGAATAACTAAAATAAAATGGATGGAAAGGGACATCAAATAGAATTATATCTGACTGGAGTAGACAGATTTGAGATTATAAACAATGGTTTATACAGTAATTGGGTTTTATTCCCTTTGCTACCTAAGAAATCCTACAGTGGCAATGTCACATCTAATACCTATTTACTATAGAATTTTCAGTATTGGCTACTTTATACAGATTTTTGAATATATTGTGTACTTGACTCCAAATACGTGGCGTTGGCTTATTTAGTTTCACATAAAAATGTAGAGGAGTAATATCTAGGAAATTCTTCATGAAATGTTGGTAATAATTTGCTAATTTCATTTGAAAAGCTAGGAAATAATAGTTGAAAATTCTTAGGAACCTGTGTCAGCAGCCAGAAATGCTAACAGCTAATTCTGTTTGAAGGAAAAACTCTTTCTATTCTAGTAATCATATACAGTTATTACACAAACCAATTACTTTTCCGCTCTGCAAAACATTTAGTGTTGTTGAAACTGTGTCATACTACTAATATCCAAGGCAAGCACAGACCGCAAACCAACATTAGTCTAATTTCATATGCACACTGTATAGCAATGGATGAAAAAGATGTGAACCAGGACCTGTTTTTTGTTAAAAACAGGTAATGGATAAGCAAAACAAAGTATTTGGTGATCCTATGCATTTTTCACAGTTGAAAGGTGGTGAAAGAGCTAATATATTTTCTTAAGTGTAGATTTGAGCCTTGGTATGGTATTGTGCTAGATCATACTGCAGTATTTTATCGGGCTCTGATATGATTGGTACTTTAGTTACATTAACTACACACGGAAAATGTCTGGAAATGGCAAGGGAAACATCTGAAAGCTTGCTGAAAAGTGTGAATCATAAACTTACTGACACATCTTCATCCTCACAGAGGTCTAACTGTGCATTGATAGCAGAATCAGCCAATTCTGGAAAATGCTTAAAGAATTTTGGAATAAACTGAGCTGCTAATCTTTTTTCCTTCATACCACCTTTCACACCATCCAAAATCACTTGATAGGCGTCTTTATGCTGAAAAAATAAAGCAGAAGACGAACAGTGTTGAAGGATGAGAAGCTTAACAAACTTGTTTGAGTCGAAATTAGTAAAATTTTACACAGGCTAAGAAGAAATAGGGCTTAGTTTCAGAGTTTTACTGCTTAAACCGGACACCTACCTTCCTATCATCTGTTCCCCTGCCCTCCCACGAGTTATCTGTGAGTTGGGGAGGAGAGAAGGATGACTAATTTTAAGTGGAAAAAGCAAATAGGTTCGTTGATATACAAACACTTCTTCTTTCTAGTGATTACTGACCCTAGCCTTGTGACTGTATGTCACCATTTAAAAAATTGTAATGAATGTTGTAGTATTCTCAAAGAGCTGTGTTACATTTACTTAAATATATTTATGTTTTTCCAATGAACATCTTGAAGGAGGTGAAGAGAATACATTCCTCAAATTAAGCAATACCAGGAAGGTAAGGAATCTTTATTTTGCCTATTTTAGAATATAACAATAATTCATTCTATATAGCCAGCCAATTTTGGATTAAGACAGACTCTAATGACACATATTAAACTTTTTATTAGAATAATATATCCAAAGCTCATGTTTCCTTGTTAAAAAATTCAGAAGTGCTCTCCCTCGGACACTCACAATGTGAAGCGTCAACAAGTTACCAATCCCCCTTAAACACCTGCCTTCAAACCAGTCCTTTCATTAAATGACGACGATTAATCTGGCTAAGAATAGTGATAAATACAGAGACTGCAGGTAGGTACATCTTCTGTTTGGACATATGGATAAAACTTTAGTTACTGTAAAACCTTAAACAGCATAGTAATGATACCAAATGTGCACACAGCATAGTGTTTACTCTGTATAAGGCAGTGCTCTAAGTGCTTTAGATACAAGAGCTTACTTCAGGCCATCAAGGAGAAAATGACTAATAAACATCCAAAGGATTACATAATTATCAAAAATTTAATAATTCTTTTCATGGACAATACTATGTTAAGGGAAAAAATAAAGCAAGATGTGAAGTTATCTGGGTACAGGAGGATCACAATTAAGAACATTCATTTTTTTTAATAATCAGAAATAAAGTGTTCTATGTAGCAAACAGGCTATGGTCACAATTAGATCTTTTAAAGGTACAGATTTTAATATAATTTGCATAATTACTTGATTACTTTAGAAGTTCATATACTGCCAACCTATCTAAAAAACAAACTCTAAAAATTTGTTCTCAATTCCATCAACTGATTAATAAAAACTCCTTTTACTATCTTTTTTTTCTTTAAAGATTTTTATTGGGGAATTAGGGGATGGGAACAGCACTGGGGAATTGGGGGAAGGTGAACAGACAAGTTGCTGTCCTTTTGTTCTTCAGTCTAGTTGTGGAGGACGTTGCTTCACTGGCCCAAGTTGGCACCATCATTGCGCTCTTCCCGGACGAGGCACATCAATCGCTGGCCTCTGGACGGCCGCTCACGCGGCAGCTGGCAGCTCACGCTGGCTGCTGGCTACAAATGGTAGCCCATGGCAACCCACTGCAGCAGGGGGTGCAGCCTACGCCGTCAGATGTGACTCATGGCAGCCCAGCTCCAGGTTGAGCTGTTGTTCAGCATCTTAGCTGTGGAGGGCAGTGTCACTGGCCCTCATGTGGGATCCGAACCGGGGCCCTCTGGAGTTCCAAGCCAGCTCTTAACCAACGCGCCACTCGGCCGGCCCTCCTTTTACTATCTTAAACATAACACCACCTCCTAAATAAAGATTTCTGTAGGGTTAGCTTCCTTGTGAAATGCCCAAACAAAAATGACTCTTCAGAAGCTACTACTTTTAAAGTATATTATGTACTTTTCAGCGCAAAGATTCAAAAAATCATGGCTGACTTCTCTACCACTTTACATTCCTGTGGTTTGCCTCACAGCTCCTAGACAGACTTAATAAAATCAAAGTCTTAAACAGTTCTGACATCCTTCTGTTTTGCAGGGTATCACAATCCAATATCCTGTAACTCAAACTCAAAGCGTTACTTATAAAGCCTTTTGAAGAATCTCCTTACATTATCTAAAATTAAATGAAGAATCCCTACTTGAAACAATTCATCTCCCTGCCAAGAAAGTAAAATCTGGAAGAGAATATTTAAAAAGGAATCATTAGCAACATTTCTTGAAAGGCTACCAGGGACTGAGTAATGCCTGGTGTACATACCTCCCAGTAATCCTGTGAGTTAGGTGTTACTACCATCCCTGTTTTTCAGATGAGAAAACCAAGTCTCAGAGAAGCAAAATAATTCCTCCAAAGCTATTTAAGTAGCAGATCCAGCACCTGAACATAGTTCTGATGGGCCCTAAAGTCAAGATCTGCGCCTAATACCAAACTTCTTTAAATTCTGAGATCTTAATTAACAAAGGAGGAGAGGAAAAAAATCTAGGGCTGTCAAAGGTAAAATTTGAGTCCTAAAATACAGGCGCCACACAGGCAAATAAACTGGGAACGCAGCAACCCAAACACAGCAAGCCCTTTGGAAAGTTAAGGCATTTGAACATATTCAAACTAGAAATCCAAGTTTCTAGTATTGGTAGGCATCAGTTTTTATCAAATAATTTCAGAGATTATTAATAGACTTCACCTGATTACCCTTTATATAATGCAAAATAAAATGATATTCTTTCTTGCCAGCTCTGAATAATTTGCCTTCTAACTGTAGTACAGGGACAAGATTTTTTTTACAGAATCTTCCTAAAGTAGTTATTACTCTGCTTTTCAAAGTAAGAAACAAGATATAAGTGATATTTTCAGTGATCACAGTGATTTAGTGACAGGTAAGTTTGTAACCACAATAAAAATGTCCCAAAACTATACAGCACAGCTTTTCTCTTCCAACACAGCTGCATGTTTCAGCTAGATAAACTTGTGATCTTAATTAGAAGCTTTAATTGTAAATACTTTTAATGCAGTTCTAAAACTGTGCATTTGTGTGTGCTTTTCCTATATAATTAAAAAGAAAACTTTAAAAAAAATCCCTAAGATAATTTTAAGTAAAAAGTCAGCGACAATTTGATCCACATTCAGCAGATACATTCTAAAAGAAAAATCTGTGATAGTGATTGTCAAAACACAGCCAATATGTGTAAGTGGTCAGAAGTGGGACACGGAAAACCATGTTTGGGACCAGGATGCAGCCTCTAAGAAATAAAGTGCTATTTTACAGAAGAAATGATGTCATTTCAACAAACATTTCTCAAGTATGCCATAAAAAGAAAATGGATAAGCTAAGCTATATTACAACTTTCTTCCTCAGACTTGATTAATAAACCTAGTTTGTATTTAATACTGAAGTAAATATTTGTGATTTTAGCTTAATCGTACAAGAAAAGGTACCAAAATAATGCTATTTCATGAATAGAAGTCAGTAATGTTTATGCTTTTCCACCCTGAAAAGCCAGTGTACTCCTGTACTCCTGAGAACACAGGAGAAATCAAAGTTTACACATTATATCCAACTAATCTTAGATTAGCCTCTCACAGTCCCTTTAATGGGTGTTTTTAAACTTAAAGACTTTTTGACTACATCAAATTAAGCATCAACATTTTAAGTAAAAAAACCCCAAAAAACCCAAACAATTTAAAATAATGGTGTGCCTCGGCTTGCTTTATTTTGGCTAGCTGGGAGTCCAGGGCAGAGCCTGACGGAAAAGGGGTTGGAGAGATACAGGAACTCACAGCGGAGGAAGAAGGCCTGACAGCAGCAGAGGCAGAGCTGGATCAGTAAGAGGGACACAGGAGCTCCAAGAGGAAAGGTGACAGCGGGGCTGGAAGGTTTTCAGGTATTAAATAATGCTTCAGGTAGCATTTATCAACTGCAGTTTGCTTATTAGAAAATACATGCTCGTGGTCTAACATACGTGTGTGAGTGAGTGTGTGTGTGTGTGTGTGTGTGTGTGTGTGTGTATCAAGTTCCCTTCTTCATTCATAAGAGAGAATCCCTGTAAAAAAAGGCTTTCGCTTTATATATATGTAGGGAAGGAAAATCATCTGATACTTGAAACTGTGTGTTCACAATTCCGGATTAAGTTAAAATAAGGTCCCGGTGCCAACATTTTCCCCCCCATACGAGACGTCTCGCAAAAGTCCTACCTGAAGGACACATGTCCAGAAAAGGGGCAGTGCCAATGTGATTAGGCTCTAGGACCGTCCGCTTCCTACTCCATGCGATGGGCAAGGAGACATCACATGGAAGTTCTAAGCGCTGAAAATACACCGGGCTTCTAACAAGGATCAAGAATACCCTCCAAGATTCTCTTCCCCAGAAAACACGCAGCTACACATCCCCGCATCACGTATCAACTCAAGTTCAACGTACTCCAGGACTTGAAAACTCAACAAAGAGCAATGGCTCGTATGGACAACACGGCCCCCGCCGTGTGTCCGGGGCCCCCGCTGGCGCTCCGGCCAGAGAACTCTATTTAAAGCTGCACGCTCTCCCTCCCCCTTCCATCGCCACTGCACGGCCCTGTTAATATTTTTCACAACACCTCTCGTTAAAAACAACAACAACAACAACAACAACAACAACAACAACAACAACAACAACAACAACAACAACAACAACAACAACGAAATTAAAGCACCTTCTTTCTTATTTACCACCAGTCTCCCTCACTAAAAACACGCTCTGGGAGAGCACGGGTCTCCCTATCTCGTCCCCCCAGCGCCCCGCACAGCGCAGGCGGCGCGCGTGCCAGGCGCTCCAAACGCGTCCAGAATAAATGAAACCGGGAGCCCTCTGCAAGTGTGGACGAAAGGCCCCGCTTGTGTTTCTTCACAAACTTCTGTCTCCTCCACACTCTTCCTAAATTCAGTGTTTTTTTTGTTTGTTTTTTTCCCCCCTCAAGAAAGACATCTTTTCATCTCTTGAGAACTCGCACTGTAATCTTCTGAGAGGCTGAGCTCCCCCGAAAAGGAGAAAGACTTAGAAACCTAGACGGCAAGGCTAGAGAGGAGCATTAGCGGGAAGCTGTTAGGAAACGCCACGGTGAGAAAAGGCGACCCAGGGAGGCAGACGAGCGCGGGACCCAGGGACCGCGCTCTCCCGGGGGAAGCCCGAGGCGACGCTCCCAGAGAGGGGCCTGTCCTGACGAAAGAGCCTGGAGGCTGGGCGCCCGCGGGAAGGCGAAGAGCAGTCCCCGCCCGGCTCGGAGCGCTTCCCAGAGGCCGCGGGACGCCGGGCCCTGCAGGCCGCTCGGGGACTTACCTGGCCCACTTGCTCCGTGGCATCGGCTAAGATGCCATAGTTGCGGTAAAGCTCCTCCACGGTCGGCATGGTGAGCGACAAGCCGAGGGCTCGCTCCTGCTGTCGTCGTCGTCCTAGCCGGCGCCACTGCCGCCTCTGAAGTTCCCCGATCCCGCGATCCGCACTATTAACGCGCCGAGCTGCCGCCAGTGCCGCCGCCAGTCACCGCGCACAGGACGGCTCCGCCTACAACGTGTACGTAAAGAAGTGCGCGTCGGGAGCGGCCTTTGCTGACAGCCATTGCGCCGCCTGGGGCTTTATCGCCCTCTAGCGCTAGGAGGTGCGAAAGGCTGCAAAAACGATTAAATTAGCTCATGCTGTTTGTTTTTTTTAAAGATGTTTCTGGCTAGGAGCTCTTGTTTAGGGGGTGGGAGTCGTGGAGGGACATACAAAGATGACTGCATTTCTGTCCTTAAAAGGTCTCACTTGGTCAAAGGGAATAAAATAGAATGAGGGGTGGGAGTTCAAGCTGTATGAAAAGTCATAAACTATTTCCTCCTGACTCAAGGAAGATAACATAAATCTCTGGCAGTAGGGGGTAGTGCGTCAGTGTTTTCTTCTGTTTTGAACAGAAAACATTCAAATATCATTAAAAAAACGACAACTATATCCACCAAACTAAACAATTCTCAGGATGAAGTTTAGCCTGCTGGAAAAGTTCGTTTATCTTTGCTTGATGCCTGATTGTGTCTAATTTTAAGAGGGTAATAAATAAATGAAACCATATTACTGATAAGGGTCTCTAAAATACAAGCTTAGATGAAAAAAATGGAAGTTGCAAAACAGGTATAAAATAATCACATTTATGTACAAAATTGTCAATCTTAAAAATAAAACAGCTAGTTATTTCATCAGCAAAATGGGCTTATTTGGTGGTAGCACAGGAATTGTAATGGGGACAAGCAAGTTATAGCAAAAAACCGTAGGCAAGTTAACAAACGAAGAAGAGAATCAAGATAGAGAAAAAGGAGGGAATTGGAAGGGGTTGTTCTAAAGGAAAGTCTATTGGAGGAAAGCAAGAAGTTAGGGTGGTAATGGTTTCTCATTAGCCGAGTTGCTCGGCAAGAAAGGAAATTTTCCTTCCCCTTGCTGGAGTAGTAAAATACTATAGGTACAGTTCTTCCGGTTGAGGTTGTAATTGATGATTATTCCTATTGGGGTCTGTTGGAATAGTAGTGAGTGAGGGCTCCCCCTTCTGACCTCCCAACTCCATTTTAAATGAAGTTTTCCTTTATTAATTTTCACAAAAAGCAAAACATACTAAACAAAGTTATGTGTAAAAAGGATGTTAAAATTGAAGTTTCAGGATTGAAACATCAAGCTATAATAGATGGTAAATTTCACAGCCAGATCCGCTTGTGCAGAATATACTCAGGAAATAGTTACAAAGCAGTTCCCTGACTCTTGTATTCCTCAGTCAGATTGAAGATATTAAAAATGATTTAAGGGGTAGAAGGAGAGGAATGCATTATATATATATATATATATATATATATATATATATATATATATATATATTTTTTTTTTTTAAGAGAAAAAAAGATGCCGTGCTTTTGTATAGCTTGAGGCCATTATTAGCTCCTTCCCTCAAGTCTGGTACCATTCTGAGGAGCCTGAAATGTGATCCCCATAGTTGAGAGACTTTAATGAGAGTGGAGGTGGCCATGTGGGAATTGACCTGCGTTCCCCGATTTTGCTGGAGTAAGGAGGTCAGAGTGATTCACTTGTACCAGAGGTGGGTCATGTAAAAGAGAGAAAGAGGCTCTGGATCCATTCTGAGTTCTGCTCCAGGGGCATCTGCCTGCGAGTGAGGAAGCCCCCAAGATAAGAGTCAATGGCAGCTTGAGAGCCACACATTAGTACCTCGTGGGAGTCAAAGTTGTGGGTGACGTCTGAAGACCCCACAGAGTGGCTCACGTGAAAGACTTGGTCTCTACCAGGCCAGAGCCTGTCTGTAGTACTTCACAGTTAAAGGCCTTTCTCATGTACACTAATTTCACCTCTCTTTTCATCTCCCCTCTCAATGTATATGCCCAGGAGGGCTCAGAAACTGCCTACCAAACTGAGTAGGGGATAAGGAACAGAAACGACCATGGTGGGAGGCAGACCCCAGCTGGAGCAGAGAAGATCTGATTGTACATCAAGTTTGGAGTTTGGGTCCACATGTAGGAATGGACATTTAAAATAATTAAATGTAGGGCCGTCAGAGTGGCGCGATGGTTAAGAACTGGCTTGGGACGCCAGAGGGCCTCAGTTGGGATCCCACATATGAGGGCCAGTGACACTGCCCTCCACAGCTAAGATGCTGAACAACAGCTCAACCTGGAGCTGGGCTGCGAAGAGTCGCCTGTGACAGCGTAGGCTGCAGCCCCTGTGGCAGTGGGTTGCCATGGGCTACCGTGTGTAGCTAGCAGCCAGCGTGAGCGGCCAGCAGCCGCAGTGAGCGGCCATCCAGAAGCCGGCGACTGATCTGCCTCGCCNATACTTGTTCCATATACTCAATTTTTGGGTAGGGAAAAAAGAGGCAGGGACTTGGGTGAGTGCAAGGAAGAATGAACATATAAGTGTTGCAGGATGATTCCCCAGGGAGCAAGCTCAGATTTGCACGAAGCGAGTTCATTGGAAAAAGCTCCCTAGATTACAGCTGTGGGGAGTGAAGGAAGCAGGAATGGGCAGAGGGGGACGCTGGGGTGTGATTCAGCCACAACAGAGCCCCCAGACATCCCATGGGGAGCTCTGAAGCTGGAGTGATCCTGAAGAATTGACCCAAATGAAGCTATCAAGTTGGGCCTTTAAACCCACAAACTGACCAGTCACTGGGTGTGGGCCACCTCTCGTAAGGCACCTGACCTTTGGCAAGGCAGCTGTCTTTAATTGAGAACAATGCCCGAGGGGGACTCAGCTCTGAGTTCTCAGCTATCACCACTGAATGTTTTTTTTTGGGGTGGGGTGGGGATCTGAGTGGTGTTCCACTGTGTCCACAATATACAGCTTCCATTGTGTGCCAGGCATCGTGTTATGAACTTTCATGTGCATCATTTCATTTCAACCTCACAACAAACGTGCAGAATAACTAATGAAGAGAGCTATAGTTTTAGTGCCTTCTCTAAGTCAGATGACTTAGTGAAACTTTAGTTCATTTGATTTTCTTAATTCATCATGGTCGGAATTACTGGTTGCATCTGGTGGAAGAGAAATGGGCAGTTCAGAAAAGCCAAGTTGGTGCTCAGGACATGAACCTAGCCCTGTCTCACATCAGAGCGGGTGCCCCTCCCACTGGGCAGTACCGATCCATTTTANGCCAGTGAAGCAACGTCCTCCACAACTAGACTGAAGAACAAAAGGACAGCAACTTGTCTGTTCCCATCCCCCCAATTCCCCAGCACTGTTCCCATCCCCCAATTCCCCAATAAAAATCTTTAAAAAAAAAAAAAGGAAAAAAAATTATATGTGTTGAGGTAACATTTGTTAATACATTATATGTTTCAGGTGTACAATTCTGTAATACATTGTCTGTATATTGCATTGTGCGCTCACCACCCAGAGTCTAGACTCTTTTTTTGTTGTTGTTGTTGTTTTTTGTTTATAAACATTTGGAATTTTATTAAAAAAAAATCACAACCATGAACATTGTTACAGTTAGAGGCCCTCTTGGTTCTACAATGATACTGAGCATGCTCACAAGGGGTTCCCATTGTTTAGTCTTAAACAACCATCTTTAAAAGAAGGAAAAAAACCTCAGCACACTACCATTTAACTTGTTTTAATGTTTCTTCACAAATGGTGAAAATTACTTAAGTACAGACAAGGAATAATCATAACGCTGTGGCCAACATTATAAATACGGAATTATAAATTTAAAATATTTTCTGGTTAAAAAAATAAATCTGGTAGTCAATGCAGCTCTGCGGGGTCTCTGCGTCTAGTAGGGCCGGTCTCTGTGTTCCTGACGGTGCTCGCCTTTATCCATTTTTCCAGGTCCTCCACGCCCGCCTCTTCTTCCTCCCATCTGTTCCATCAAAGGTCCAGGAGGACCTCCAGGGCCACCTCGTCTTCCTCCACCAAAGCCACCTCGGTCCATGCCCCGGCCGCCACGGAAGCCACCTCTGTCTCCACCATGGCCACCTCTGAACATTCCACCGGGACCACCCCGGTCCATGAGGCCACCTCTTCCTCCCCGCATGCCGCCAGGGCCACCATTGCCTCGGTCACCGCCCTGGGGTGGAAAGGGTGGAGAGAGGAAGCCTTCAGGCTTCGGGGCCTTACACTGGTTGCATTCTGTTCTCCAGACGAAGTTCTGGTTTCCACACCCTGGATTGGAGCACTGTCAGTCTCCAGCTCTGTGCTGGACATTTTCTCCTCCGGAGAGGTTCCCTCGGGAACCCCGGGGACCTCTGTGGGGGAAGCCTCCACTGTCTCCTCCACGGCCTCCCATGTGACCCATGAGTCCCCCAGGACCTCCTGGGCCCCCTGGACCTCCACCGAGCGGCCGCGGCATCCCCCCCTGCATGCTGTTCATCGGAGGCTTCTTCCAAGCAAGAGAAACTTTCAGTTTGCTCCCTTGAAAACCTTTCCCATCAAACCACTCCACAGCAGCCTTGGTAGTCGGCGGGTCTTCCTAGGGCACTGTAGCATCATCACCTTTGGGCTTTCCTGTTTCCTTGTCCAAGTAGATGTGGATCATGGGTTGTCTGGTTCTCTTGTTCATCTTACCCACGCCACACTGCTTAAAGAAGTCTGCCAGATCATCCAAAGTCACATTGTCATTTAATCCTTGCACGTAAGTCGCACTATTGGCAGAGTCTTCATCTGGATCGATAGGTGGGCCTAGATCAAGATCTGGTCCTTCGTCCATGGGTCCACCAGGCTTATTGAAGCCACCGCCTCTCCAGTTCCCATTCCACCGTGTCCTCCTCCCTGCCCACCTCTGCTCATGTCTCCACGATCAAATCCCCCTCTTCCCCTGCCCCGGTTCTCTCCTGGTCTGGAAAATCCTCCAGACCCCTGCCCATAAACACCCATGCTACTGGGGTGGTCCTGTCGGAATGAACTCTGCTGCCCATAGCTGCAGCTCTGCTGGCGATATTGACTTGGAGCCTGGCTGTAGGATCCAGTTTGGGGGGGGGGCGGGGAGGGTAACTAGTGGGCGGCTGCTGCCCATAGCTGCTTTGTTGACCATAGCTACTCTGCTGTCCATAGCTGCTCA